CTGTCTTTCCAGAGCATTTGACACAGTGGACTGTTTCCTTAGCTTGAAGTTTGGCTTGTCTAGGTGTACTTGTTCTTTCTGTATCTATGGCCCAAATCCTTGCTCTCCATCACTCTATTGCCTTTGGATGCTGATGTGCACAGCTCTTTGCTGGTATTTTGTGTCCCACACTTTGTTTCTGGGGAATTTCCTTTATGTGGATAGTGTCAACATTATTTACATATCGATTGCTCTTCAGTTAGATTCCCAATCTGAATATGGATTGAGTCTCTCTAATTTTATTGCATTGGATTAGACTTCAGAAATGGGCCACAATGAGTAATCCCTTCAAGTCTTCCAGCTATATGGGGGAACTTGCCCTCAAATCTGTGCTAACCCTCTCATCCATGCTTAACCAGAATTCTGCCCATGCGACACTATGTTGATTGAGTACCTTGCAGCTTCTGCCTGGGCCTCTTGAAATGTTTGGTGGATACTATTTCTTGTAACTCACATATCTTGCTATGAAAAGCCATAGGAAGACGCACGTGTAAGAAGGGAAGCTGAGCTCCTACCTAGTGGCACCAATGGTCAACCATATGAGTAAGCCATCCTGGATGTCCAGGCGACATTTGAGAGAAACTATAGAAAAGACTTTAATCAAGACTTATGAAGATGGTCCCAATCAACTCCAGAACCCTAAGAAATAATAATAGTTTGTTGCTTTAACTTGCTAAAATTTTGGAGTAGTTTATTATACAAAAAAAGGCAACAACATCTAATTATATTCTTAAATACAACAAACTGCTTTTCTGAATGAAATGTAACAAGTGAAGAAACCATTTCCACTCTGCCAGGGAATGTATGCATTAGGGAAGAAAGAGCTGAGGAGGCTAGGGTCCCATGGAGAACCCTTCTGTCAGAGATACTTGCTTGAGGGGTGGGCTAGTCATTGTTATTTTCTTTCCTTCCCAAATAATTGTGAGTTGGAGAGAGAGTAATCAAAATGGATCTTGAGCCTACTGTCACGGTGACTGTCACTATAGGAGATGACTCTTACCTAGGGCCGGCAGTGCCATCTGAATTTCCCTGGGAAAAACTCAAGGCTCTAAATCAACCGGAGAGAACAAAGCAAACAGGCTGCTTTCTCCATCCAGGAAATAGCTCCGGCCTGGCTGCAGCTCATGCCAAAGGAATTGGCTTAGGGAGTGTACCCTGGAATTGTCTGGCTTATGACTCAGGGAATTCAGCAGCACAAATGTTGGTTGATGTTAATGGGGTGGGGGTGGGGGAGAAGAAAAACTCAACTCCCTGAGATTTGAGACTGCTGTTACTCAAGGGGAGAAAGACCTTCTTTACAGTATGTGTGCAAGTAAATTTGTCATGTGTAAATCGGCTTTCCCAGGTTCCAGAGGAAGCACATGCTTGTCTCTTGCATCAAGAAAGTGTTACTGGCCTCTCTGCCGACACTAGTGTGGACGTCTCTTCCTAGTGGCCTGGATAGAAGTGTGGTACTGTTACTCGGATAAGATGGCAACAGCCCACTTACTCAGGACTAGGCATTGTGAGTGACTAGCAGAGAAACGTTTGTTCCAACAGGCTTGGGTGATGTTGGAGCCACGGCTTACTCTGCAGGCTCCACACCAGTAGGACTGGACTCCCATGAGCCTTGTCAGCTCTGAGTCCTCATGAGTGACAGTTGGGTCTCCCTCACAACCTTTCAGGAGGAATTAGCCCCTTATGTAAATGTTACAAAGGTGTCATAGGATACAAAAGCTCTGCCTTGGAAGGAGTCCTACACATCAATGTTTTATTATTAATTACATGGGAATGTGGTCACTCAGTTTCTCAATAAGTACTTGTTGAGTAACTAGTGTATACCAGTATCACCACAGGGACAAGAACTTTTTGTTACTTTTTCCTGATGATACCTAGCTCACAGGAGAGACTGCAGGCTGCACAAAATGTCGCTTCCCTTAGCCCGGCCAAGGTCAAGGTGCTCCTGTCATGTGGACTGTGGCACAGATCTTCTTTCCCTCTCCAGACTGCACTGCACATTTGTAACACCCGAGGCTTCCAAGTGTGTCTTTAACAGAAACAATCAACTCTTTCAAGACTCTAGGGATTTAGATTGCCAAAATATTACTTAGTGAGGGTCTTTGTAACTGAGCTATCAAAATGGAAATATAGCAGAGACAGCGGCCAAAAACCCTTGTGGACTAAATCCCTGGCATTATTTGAAAATCCTAGGACACTGTTGACCTCTCCTTGAAGCTGGTCTCCTTGTTTAGTGAAAGCATTTTTAAAGCTCCCAATGTCCACAGCACGCTGCATTGAATTCTGAGAAATAATCAAGCTCTGCCCTCCCCCTTGAAAGTCATTTCAACTTAAATTTTTATTTCACCGCTTATTTTTTTTTTGTTTATTGTAAATGTGTATGTGTGCATGGTGTGTGTGTGTGTGTGTGTGTGTGTGTGTGTGTGTGTGTGAAGTCGGAGTGAAACTTTTGGAGGCTGGGTTTCTCTTTCTACCATGTGGATCCTGGGAAATTGAACACAGGCCATCAGGCTTGGTAGCAACCTTTTATCCACTGAGTCGCCTCATGAGCCCATGACGGACATTTAATGGCATATTTAAGAAGCTGAACCACTCCACAGAGAAAAAAATCAGCGTCTACATGCACCAGCCTTTAGCAGCTACTGGTGCAGTCCTGTCCAAGTGCCTGACTGTGGCATTGCCTTCTGTCACAGAGAAGGAAAGCAAGAGGCAAAAATGTGCCAAACATGATAGAATTAGTTTTGTGTTCTCTTTCTTTTTGGTTTGGGCCACTGGATGTGTACCTGCTTTTTTCAAACCTGTCTGTTTTTTTTGTTTGTTTGTTTTTGGGTTTTTGAGACAGGGTTTCTCTGTGTAGTTTTGATGCCTGTCCTGGATCTTGCTCTGTAGACCAGGATGGCCTCAAACTCACAGAGATCCGCCTGGCTCTGCCTCCCGAGTGCTGGGATTAAAGGCGTGTGCCACCACTGCCCGGCAAACCTGTCTGTTCTTGATGTAAGTAAAACTCACATTTTATCAATGATACTGAAATCCTGAGAGCTCAAGACTTCCCCCAGTCTCCCCTACCACACACACACACACACACACACACACACACACACACACACACACCACACATACACACATACCTCACACATACAAACATGTGTGGTGTTTCGTTTGTGTTTTGACAAATAAAGCTTGCCTGGAGATCAGAGGGTGGAGCTAGCCATTAGTTAACCATAGAGGCCAGGCAGTGGTGGCACACACCTTTGATCCCAGCACTTTGGAGGAGGAAGCAGGAAGATCAGGAGTTCAAGGCCACCCTGGGGTACAGGAGATTGAACCAGTCTAAAAGAGAAACAGAGCCAGTTGATGGTTCATGCCTTTAATCTCAGCATTAGGGAGGTGGAGACAGGAAGTGATAAGGCGGGTGGAGGCAGGATCTCTGCCCCATTCGGGCTAAGATTTCGTAGAGGTAAGAAGTATCTAGTAGCTGCTGCTCTGCTTCTTTGATCTCCAGGCAAGCTTTGTTTGTCAGAATGCAAACAAAATATCATACAACACACATACACACACACACACTCACACACACCTCACACACACACATACACCACACTTACATACACACACACCTCACATACACACACCTCACATACACACACCTCACATATACACACACACCACACACACATATACACACACATACACACACTCACACTCACAAACACCTCACACACACATACACTACACATACATATACACACACCTCACATACACATGCACACACCTCACATATACATACACACACCCCACACACATATACACACATCACACACACACACACATATATACATCCCCTTACACACATATACACATCTTACACAAACACACACATATACACACATAAACACACACATACACACAAGTACCGTTCACTGTCCTGGACAAATGGTTCAGACAGACAGACTTAGACTGTTCAAACTTAAATGTTGAGACACCACTAAATAACCTGAGGAAACTCATATAAGATCAAGTAACTGAGTGAGAGGAGGGGTATGAAAATCTGGTAACAGTAAAATGTTTCAGATTGTATAATGACCTAACAGAATTTCAAACCGAATGTGCAACGCACTCAGTGGGTTTCTGGTAGACCTTGCCCATATTACATCGTGAAATCCCATTAAATTCTTAGTTCCAAACACACAACACATGAACTTTGCACTGAGCATGCCAAGAACACATAACACATGAACTTTGCACTGAGCATGCCAAGAACACATAACACATGAACTTTGCACTGAGCATGCCAATTGTTGCATGCAGCAGCAACAGATAATGCCTGAAACACCTCATCTGTTGACTGCTCTGAATTGCAGTCTTTTTACTGTACAGACCGTTTTCTGATCTTAAAGAAGCACAATGGCTTAATTATAGACGGCAAACACTTTTAGTGTTTCCTACCATGATTCTTCTGCATGTATTAATTACTATATCTTTGGATTGCATTGTGTTAGGTAAATAAGTATAAATGTGCAAATTTATTTCCATCCTTAAAATAAAATAGTGTGTATCAAAAGTGTTTTAAAATTATTTGTTTATGACTTATTATCTATAAATTATTTGATTATCTATTTTATCTACTGATTTAGCGAGGTGCATATGAAATTTTCTTGGCTATAAGGGGTTGTGTGTGTAAAAAGTTTAAGAAACACTGGACTCAGAGATGGGATGTAAGTAACTTACAGTAAGCTGCAAGTAGAACCCCCGAGACACATGATCACTAAATTCTTTCCCCGCCAAAGATCAAAACAATGTCTGTGCAAAGGTCAGGAAATGTATTGTAGAGATACAACAGTAGAAACAAGAGCCAAATAATCAGCAATACTTAATCCTAGATGAATGAATTGTATTCCAGAAGAGTCAAGTAGCTACAATTTCCAATTAAATCTTTGCTTTGAAGTCTCCCTCCTGAAGGTCATCAAAATAGATTTCAATTTTGCTTTCTAAACCCAGTTTTTCCCTGGTAGATTAAATTAAAAACAAAGCACAACAAAACTATCTGAGCAGAGCTTTGGAGTCTGCCCCTTTGGTTTCTTCCGAATGACGTGGCCATCTAGAAAGGATTTTTCTCCTACTTGAAGGCTGCCAACTTTGAAACGTGGTATCCTGTCTTAGTTGCCATTCAATTTCTGTGAAGAGACACCATAACCATGTCAACTCTTACAAAGGAAAGCATTTAATTGGGGGCTGGCTTACAGTTTCAGAGGGTTAGTCCATTGTCATTGTGTCAGTGAACATGGCAGCATGTGTGGCAGGCTTGGTATGCCGGAGAAGTAGTTGAGAGCTACTTCCTGACTCATAGACACACACACACACACACACACACACACACACACACACACACACACAGAGAGAGAGAGAGAGAGAGAGAGACAGACAGACAGACAGACAGACAGACAGACTCACTCTGGGCTTGGCACAGGCTTTTAAAACCTCAAAGCCTACCCCTAGTGACATACTTCCTCCATTAAGGGCAGACTTACTGCAACAGGGCCACATCTACTCTAACAAGGCCACACCTCCTAATCCTTACAATTCTTTCAAATAGTTCCATTCCCTGGTGACCAAGTATTCAAATAAATGTGGCTCTGGGGTCATTCTTATTTGAACCACCACACACCTCATGCCAGACATAGCATGCACTCCCCAGAATCTTAAAGATGAGGATGAATCATCATAGGTGAACCAGCTCTAGGCAGAAAGCACGCAAATCTAGTCCAAGGTAGATGGAACCTTCAAGAGGGATCTTCAACCCCATTGTATGTTCCAAAGGGGATGCCTTCCACCAGTGCCCTGTGAACAGTGAGACACTGCATGGCCACACGTCCCCCTGCCTTGTCACACAGCAACTATTCCACCAGAGGCCCTGTGCACCTGTGCTCCCTGCTGTCTGTTTCAATTGCTGTCCCCTCTGAAATGGATCGCCTGGTGTTGCTTGTCTAACTTCTCATTTCCCAATGACTCTGCTTGTAGTTTAATACATTTGGATTAATTGTTCATTGACCATACACTGACAATCACTCAACTTTCACACTGGAAATGATGGATAGAAAATATTGAAGTTAAAAGCTGTTAGGGACTGATGTGGTCGTTTAAACTGCAAAACTAGATCTTGAGTAAGGAAGACTGAGTTTGTGCTTCACAGCCTGGGCCTCAGAGCAAGACGCTTTCTAAGAAAGAAAGTTTACTCAGACTAAATGGCAATGGTCGAGAGAAAGCCTGAACTGACCTACAAACACCCTAACTGTCATGCTAGAAATCTCATCCAATGATTGATGGAAGCAGTTGCAGAGATCCACAGCCAGGCCCCAGGTGGAGCTCCAGAAATCCAATCAGCGAGAAAGAGGAGGGATTGTATGAGCAAGAATTGTTGAGACCAAGATTGGAAAAAGCACAGGGACAAATAGCCAAACTAGTGAAAACACATGTACTGTGAACCAATAGCTGAGGAGCCCCCAACTGGATCAGGCCCTCTGGATAAGTGAAACAGTTGATTAGCTTGAACTATTTTGAAGGCCCCCAGGCAGTGGGACCGGGACCTGTCCTTAGTGCATGAGCTGGCTGTTTGAAACCTGGGGCCTATGCAGGGACACTTTGCTCAGTCTGGGAGGAGGGGACTGGACCTGCCTGGACTGAATCTACCAGATTGAGCTGAATCCCCAGGGGAGTCCTTGCCCTAGAGAAGATGGGAATGAGGAATGGGCTGGGGGAAGGGTTGGGGGGGGGGCGCGGGAGGAGGGAGGACAGGGGAATCCGTGGCTGATATGTAAAATTAAATCAAATTATAAAATTAAAAAAAAAAAGAAAGCTCATCCTTGTGTGGGTGTAAAATTGGGAACCAGTTAATATAATGGAAGAACCACTTGTGTTTATTAAATAATATGATTATTATTAAATATCATTTTGATTCTGCATCTCAACAGAAGCTCTGTTTAGATATAAGGCATCAAATGAATATGACATAGCCCTGTCCTTTGGGTTTTTAGGTGGGAAGACAGACCACATCCCCTAGAGAAAAAGTCACTCCTGACATGGAGATTAAGGACCTTAGAACCAGCTGATGAGTGACAGCTACATAAACACTAACTCTCAGCTTGCAAGAGCAGAGCTGGGCTCTGGCTTGGGCTCCTTTTCTTGTCAAGATTGTAGCTCGAGCACTTCAATTCTTGGAGCTTTCAATTTTTCAGATATAAAATTGAGACAGTATTCTCTGCCTACCACTCCCATCAGGTAAATGTAGGATTCAAACAAGGTAAGATTTATGGAAACCTGGAATAAATGTTAACACTCCTCCACAAATCCTCAGTGTGATCGTTTCCCTTGCTCTATCACATCATGGCATAAGACTCACAAACTTTTTTCCTTTCTGTTTGAGCTTATGAAATATCTGAAGTTTCTATGTTGTGAGTCTATTGCATACACCTTATTTAATCTCATTACATCAATGAACTGGAGCTAAGCAGACAGCTGGGCTCCTCAGTATGAGGAATCCAGCACCTCATCCTGAAGATAACATTGTTAGAGGAAGGAAGACATCCTCTGAGGCCGGATCTGATTCAGAAAAGAGTTGTCTGGTATCCTCAGTTGACAGTAGAGCAGACTGAGTTTTCATTATTGATCTTTTCCATAAATGTTTATGAGGATTCTCCTTTGCACCTGAGCCCTTGATGTCATGGGGAATGACAAGTTGGAGAAGGGCAGGGCACTCAGTCTCCAGTGCTCACCTTGGCTGATAACTTCTTAGCCCCGATACATCATTCATCTTCCATTCTTAACCCTCCCCCTTCTAAACCCCAAAGTTGGTTAGCCATAAAACACAAAGCAGTCTTACATATTTAAATATTGAGATACAAAGTAGAAAGAAGCATGTGAAAACTTCTTTTTGATTATAAGATTGTAAGAGGGGCAGTGATCGCCATTCCTACGAGTTCTGAGAGTGTGCAGTGGGAAGACCCTGGTGGAAGAGGCCAGCCTGAGTGCTGATGGACTTGAGTGGGTTTTTGGCTTGGCTGGATCTCTCCCTCCAACTCATGAGTATGGGAATGGGAACCTGGACAACACAAGACAGCTGGTTTCCAGTGTGGGAGCTTCTGGGGGCGCAGTTATGGGGCTGAGCCAGGATACAGTCTGGGCCAGTAATTAGAGAATTTCACAACTTTGTCATGAGCTAAAGTAATATTTTCAGGCTGATGGAGATCTCACATTTGGTCAACACGCCTAACAGTGGAATGGCTCTGCTAAGCTGGGTGACTTGGCAACTTCCTCTATCCCATGGTGCGTAATTTTTCCGACACACGTGGCCTCTTGGATTTCTGTGAGATACAATAAAGATAGAAAATACAGTATTTAACAAGCAAACCAAGTAAAGGACAGTTAATGGAACCATATTCAAAGCAAAAGCTGAAACAAATTCGGGGAGTCCTGGGGGGCCGTGGAGAAGAGGTGCTGTATTGGGGGGGGGAGCTGTCACATGAGTGAAATACCTTGTGACTGCCCTGCAAGGTGGCTGTTCTATAACTCTGAAGTTGTGGCACACAGTTTGTAAGTCAGACAACAACCATGTCTGAACTGTGGAGGAGGACGTGAAGGTTTTCTCTTCTTGGATCCCACCCAGACTCAGCAGGCGTGGCACGTTCACTGTATCTTTAAAGAATCATCTCTATTTAGAAAGTGAGGAGGGGGCACTTAGATGCACTGATACTGTTGGTATCATCAGAACATGTTATGGGGCCATGAGGCCCTTGGTCTCAGCTCTAAGCATGGGAGGTTTCTCTTGTCAACCAAAGTCACGGATGGGGCTTAAGAAAACCCTGCAGGTGTGCGCTGGAGTAAAGACCCTCAGTTCCATCGTCATCAGGAAAAACATCTAAAGGAGAATAGGCTCTGCGTTTTGCAGGGGAAAATCTTTTAGAATCTGTATAATTGTCTGTTTTCTCTGAATTTCAGAGCTGTAGATCTTATAACCAGATGGACTTAGCTCCATTGCTCAGTGTATGAGGGGAAAGGCAGAGCGAGAGTTCACTCTGGCCCTCCCAGGCTGTGGTGCTGAGTCTTCCTGTCCCTAACATGGAGCGCATGACTAAGCTGCTTGAGTAAGCCCTGGATTTATGATTTATAAACCCAGGAAAAGGGCATTTATCACTTGAATCACCCTAGAAACATGTGTCAAAGTGAAAGAGGGAAATTTGTCCTCTGTAAACTCTGCCCCAGGCTGTTTAAGACGGTTGTTTTGAGAAAATTTGCACACATCCACTGGTCCATGAGTCTCTTGGTCCCGGTGAACTCCCCAGTACGGGGTCTTGAATGCTCAGCGGGATGCTTGGTTCTCATCGAGGGTAAAACTGAAAATAGGAAGCCCTTGGCTGCTGACTGTGAGATAAACTTGCTTAAATTGTTTGCCAAGAGCAGTGGGTCATATGAAACGCCACATGACTAACCAGAAATGATTGGAACTTGAGAGGTGCCAGGGTCAATGAGTAAGGTTGCTTTCACCATGGGATCAAGTTCAAGTGGATGCATCCATGCTCAAGTTCGTAAGCCCTGCTGTATTCCACCCTGCACCACCCCACCTTTCCTGATGTGGCCCATCAAGAGATTTCACTAAGACAGACATGTCAGACAATGTTGGGTATATCTGGCTGCTCATTTATGTTTGCTTTTTAATGATTCACCTGGCTCTCTGTCCAATACATTGCTAAGACCTTCTGTTTGAGAAGCATGGCAGAAAGAACAGCAACATTGCTTTCTCTAACTTCTGACCCCTCTAATGTCCAGTTCTCTTTCCTGACACTGACTAGCCCTTTGGTCGTAATTCCCCACAATAGCTTCATGACATACTGCTTTGGATTATAGCAACTTGAAATCATGTTTCATGTTGTTATTCAAAAATCAAGACAACTGCTTTACATTTTTTTCTTATGTTTTCCATGGCAAAATACATTCCATAGTGTTTTAAAAGAGGTTTGTCTTATTTTTATTTATATGTCTGTGTGGGGGTCTGTTTATGTAAGAGATTTGTCTTATTTTTATTTATGTATCTGTGTGGAGGTATGTTTATGTGAGTGCGGGTATATGCAGAAGCTGAAAGAAAGCATCAGATCCCAAGAGCTGGACATATAGCCAATAGTGAACCACTCAATGTGGATGCTGGAAACCAAACCCTGGTCCTCTATAAGAGCAGTCTGAGCCATATCTCCAGCCTCTGTCCTATGGCATTTAAAATAGTGTTGGCCTAGATTGTGTTCTCAGTGTTATGAATGACTGTGACCGACTGAATATTTGTTGAATTGGGTAACAGACTGATCCGTCATATACTAAGTTATGCTGCTGTGACAGACAAGCCCAGAGTTTGAAATCTACAACATGTGGCTTATTTATCATCCACGTTAATGTCCACATTGGGCAGCATATAACTTTACTCCTCTTTTTTATTCTAGGATTTGGGAAGGAGGAGCAGTTTCTAACTGGAAAATGTGTCTTTGGTAGGGGACAGTAAAGAAATGTCAGAAATGTATGCTGGATCCGAAATAGCACATATCACTTCTGCTCAGATTTATTGGCCAAAGCCAGCTATGTAGCTAGACCTGTTGTAAAGGGGAAATAGGTATAGTCGGAAGTTTTTCTGTGTCCCGCCTGGCTCACGGTTGGGACAAATCTCTCAGCCACAGTCTTACAGCCTTTTATAAAATAATAACACAGAGCTTTAATATTAACTATAACTGCTTGACCATTTTCTCATGCTTATTACTGATTAGCTCTTACACTTAAATTAACCCATAATTCTTATCTATGTTTAGCCACATGGCTTGGTACCTTTTCTCAGTTCTGCCTTCACATCTTGCTTCCTCTGTGTCTGGCTGGCAACTCCTGACTCAGCCTTCCTCTTTTTCCTTGTCTGCTTATCCTACCTATACTTCCTGCCTGGCTACTGGCCAATCAGCATTTTATTTATCAACCAATCAGAGCAACACACCTTCACAGCATACAGAACAACATTCCACAGCAGGTAAGTCTAACTTCTGATGAGGTAAATACTTGATAATAAGAATAGTATCTTAGAAAACCATTTCATTTTAAGCAGCTTAAAATATTGCTAAAGAAGATATATATATACATATGTATATTTATACATACACACACACACATATATATAAATAATCATAAGGTGCAAGTAAATTTTTATAATGGTAAGAGGAAGAAGAGGCCTCATGCATCTAGGATTTTTTATAGCAGACTTAAGACAGAATGTGTCCTTTATATTGGGAATTTAAACATAAGCTTTTGTGAGAAGCAACTGAGGAAAACATAAATAGAAGCATTTTAAGACGATTGAAGAGACAGTGTGAAAGGTCCATTTTGGTGGAGGAAAAGGCTCCACAGAAAGTGATACTGTCGTCCCCTGTGTTCTAAACTAAGGAGCTTAGCATCTGTCCAGCAGGCAAACAACTGGAGGTTTTGAAAGCTTGTTAAAGAATCGGTTGGAGAGATGCTGAAGACATTTATGAGGTTTCTTAATGAGCTGAAGAGGGAGGCAGTAAAACCAGAACCAGGAAAGCGGCAACAGTGAACCAAGACAGAACACACAAGCCAAGCTGCAAGAGAAATCAGCGTTGGCTGCAAACAGGCGGGTGTGGGGAGTAAACATAGAGACAGAAAGTGAACAGAGAGTGGTGGCATCGTGCAGTGAAAAACACTTTAATAAAGATAAAACAACGTGGGTGAAAGCAATAAAGTGTAAAGGGGCCTGGGATGGCTACATTATATGGAACGACCTCAGACGTTTATAACGACAAGACATTAAAAAGATCCAAACGGTTTGGAGGAAGGCCATGCGGGAAAGAACGGCAAGTACTCCGACTATGATGAACTTGGCATGTCTTGTGAGGTACAGGAAGGTCATCGTGGTGGGAGTAAGAGGCGTGGAGAACAGTAGACATAAATTGGGAAGACAGGCCAGATCATGTGGAATCTTGAATGATTTTATCCTCACAGTGACAGGAAATCTTTTTGTTAAATCTTTATTTCTCTCTCTCTCTCTCTCTCTCTCTCTCTCTCTCTCTCTCTCTCTCTCTCTCTCTCTCTCTCTCTCTCTCTCTCTGTCTGTCACAAGTGTGAGGATGCCTGCAGAGGCTGCCTGATGTAGGTGCCAGGAACCGCACTCTGGTGCTCTGTCAAAACAGCAAATACCCTTAACCACTGAGCCATCTCTCTTGCTGTTTTGGGTGAGTCCTGGGAAGGATTTGTGTCTGGAGAATTGGCTGCTCTGCAGAAAAGGGTCGAAGAAGGGATCTATGAATCACTTGAAACAGTGACCAGTTAGGGGGCTGTCACAGTAAGGCAGGCAAGAGAAGGCAAGGGTTTAAATGAGGATGACAGGAGTGGTCCTCAGGAGAAATGGAAATAGTCTAGATATGATTCTAGCCATATTTCACATATATACCTTTTTTTATTTCATTGAGCCCAATGAAATAAAGTGCACAGCTAAGTGGCTTTAGAGACATGATGGTATCGCAACACGGAGTGGAGAAAAGTGTGAGGATAATGATGTTTCTTGGGTTGTGGGTTAAGGAGCTCGGTAAATTCTGGGGGTGTTTGCTGAGTTGTAGAGCACCAGGGAGCAACATACTTAAAACAATGGACTGAAGATGATCTATGAACACACAGAAAGATGACATTCTGACTCATAAGATATGCTTGCCTGTTCTTTTCCTGACACAGTAAGTAGATCAAAGGTCTAGTTACTCAAATCTGGATTCACAGTCAGAGAGATTATGCGTGGAGACTGATTGATAGTCATTAACCAAGCTGTGTGTTTAGGGAGCTTTATATTTCTACTACCTGGTGCTGGATCTCTCTCTCTTACCCACGACAGAAAATAAATTTCTCCTAGAAGCCAAGTAGTATATCATCATGCAGAAGATCTTCTCTGAGAAGCCAAGGAGCAAATGATGGAGCTGGCTGTTTTTGGTGGGCTACAGAACAGCCTCTGTTAGCATCCTTCCATGGATCAAGACCGAGCACACAATCAGATGATGCATCCCTGTTGCCCAGTAAATCACTGATATGTGAAATTGGGTGATCTCCATTGGGATTCCCCAGCATTAGTTCGGCAGCCCTGAAGTGATGTGCCAGCTGCCTTTGTAAATCGTGTGTGTAAATTTATGTGATATACATTCACAAACAAGCTTGAAGATGTATATGTTGACATATCTAGAAGACTCAAGCTTTACACTAGTAACCCACATTCATAACTAAACCCTGCAAAAACAAGAAGAAAAGTCAACTGGGTTGAATGTAAATAGGGAAATACTCATTAGTGAAGAGTTTGAGGTCTGGATTCTTGCCTTATTTGAGGACCCATTTGCTTTAGTTATAAACTAATGTACAGCCAGTCATAACAATGCTTTGTGGCTTACAACCCTTTACTGTTGTTTATTTTAGTGTTGGGAGTTGACTGAGCTTATCTGGATGGTCTTTACCCAGGCTCTTCATGCATTTTTAATCACATAGCTATGTGAATTAAGGACTGTACTAAGCATCATTATCTGTATCTGACGCTTGCTTTCCTTGTACTTGGTCATTCTTTCTAGCAAAGTGACTCATATTTCCGACATGGAAGCCCAAGGCTCCATGAAGTAGAAAGTTCAAGTCCTCACAAGAGTACAGTCTGGGGCTGACACAGTCTCACCATTACTACTTTGTATTGGTTGAAGTAGTCAGCTCAGATTCTCCTGCACAGGGGTGTGAAATCGGGTAGAAGGAAAGAAGTTGATCATAACCATTTGATAAGTGAGTTACACTTAGTCAGCAGGTAGCCATTCTAAACTCACACAGAAATAAGCAAACCTTTTATTAAAAGATTATTATTAAAATAATTCCATGGTTATTCATTAGAATGGCAATTATAAAATAAACAGGAAATCCTAAGTATTGAATTAGAAACTTGTATGCTATTGTTGGAAATGTGATAGTACATTCACTGTGAAAAAGTTTGGCAGGTCTAAAGTAAAATAAAAAATTACCCCATTATTTGGTAATTCCATTATCCAGCCTATATCACAAAGAATTGAATTTGGGTTTGAAGGAGGTATTTTCACACACCCATGTTCACAGAAGTATTAGTCACAATACCTAAATCATAGAGGCAACTTTGTGCCCATTGATTGATGAAGGAATTTGCAAAATGGTATTTATAATTAGATATTACTCAGTAATAACAAGGAAGGACATTCTGACACACGGAACATGGATAAACCTTGAGGACATTATGATAAGTGAAATAAGACAGTCACAAAAAGACAAATACAGTACACTCACACTTGGATGTGTCAGAAAGAGCTCAGATTCATGAACCTGGGTAGGAAGGAAGAGCAGAGTTTTTCATTTAGTTCATATAGAGTTGCAGTCTGGGACAGGGCAAAGAATTCAACTTATGGTTGGTGGTACTAGTTGTACACTATGATATATTTTATATCATTGAAATATACAATTTTATACAATTGAAATACACAATTAAATGGTTAGGATGATATGTTTGTTACGTCTATGTCACTTTGGTAAAAATAGGAAAATTGAAAAGAAAATCAACTGGCCTATTTGATCAGCAGAGGATATTAAAAAAAAAAAACCCTGAATATCTAGTATATGGTTAGTTTTAATTGTCAACTTGACACAGCCTAGAATTACCTGGGAAGAGTCCTGCTGCAGGATTATTTAGACCAAGTTGGCCTCTGGACTTGTGTATAGGGGAATGCCTTAATGACCTCGGTTGATATAAGAAGATTCAGTCTCAAAGGGGATTGTATCATTTCCCGGTTTGGGGCCCTTGACTGTATAAGAGAAGAGAAAGTTTGCTGAGTGACAGGCATTGCATGCACTCATTTTTCTCTGCCCTCAAGGACAGATACTCTGTGACCAGCTGCCTCAGGTTCCTGCTGCCTTGACTTTTTGCTATGGTGGACTATGACCTGAAATTGTGGGCTTCCCGAAATTGTGTTTTGTCTGGGTATTTTATCACAGCCACAGAAATGAAACTGAAGTGTCTGGTAACTGGTATTATGTTCATCCTGTAGTTAGAAAATGTGATATTTGTAGGTTTTTTTTTAAAAAACTTATCCAAGATCTGAAAAGCACTTTTATAAGTCAAGGCCACCAGAAAGGAAAAGTTTGAGGGCTGTGTTAGTGTTATGATAAGGACTTGATAGAATTTCATAGAAAGGTTCTACTATTCATTTACTGATTTATAAGAAATCTAAGGTGGCTTCTAAAGGAAGGTGAAATGACCTCAGCAAGAACACCATGAGAATCCAAACTGTCGCATCCTGTATCAACAGAAGCTCCTAGCAACACACCCTGATATAAGGGACCAATGGCAAATACCGTAACTCAAGTAAAAAATAGCAAAATCAGCCTGGATTTCCAGAACTGCCCAGTTAATCAAAAAGTCTGGAACTCTTCCCGGGATTTTTTTTAAGTCTAGACAAAGCCTCAAGATAACCCTTGCACAACCAACCTAGTGCCAATGGGGACTGAGAAGACAGAGCTCTGTCTCACCAAAGGGATTTTATAGAAAAGAAGTGTTTTGTAGAGGAGGAAAAGACAGAAGAGGCTGCAGAAATCATTTGTGGGTGATGAGGGGGGAGAGAGGGCAGGGAAGTATCAAGGGAATGAAGAAACAGTTCTGCCATGTTGAGGAAGTTGATCAGACTTCAGCTTCCTTGGGGGATACGCAACTTTAAAAAAAATTATTAATTTGTACTTGGCACAGAATTTGTTCTCCATATAAAGACTCTGATTCAAACCCAGGAAAAACCCTGAGGGTGGTAGGAGACATTTCATTCAGTGACAGTGATAAATGAAAATCTCTTTTTCCTCACCAACGATGCCCAAGTGGAGGTTTTACATCCCAGAGGGGCTGATGGAAAAAGCACATGTGAGCGCTATTTACTCCCCTGTGAAAGCATCTCTGTACTAATTAGCTGGATCACACGGATAGCTGTGGGTTGGACCAGAGGTATTAAAATTGCATCCAGCTAGAACACCTCCATTGTTCCAAGAACTTTTAATGACCAGATTATTAGGACTTTGACATTTTCTGAGAGTCTCAAATAAATTTCAAAAATACATCTCATCGATTCATATACAATAGCTTAATGATATAGTTCAAGTGCCTTCTAATCTTATCCACTTACTCTTTACCTGGAAGGACACCTGTTCAACATGATCAATTGCACTGATAAATAATATAAAGTAATGTCAAGTGATAGGACAGACACCAATAGAAGATAATCCCCTCTAGTCACATTCTTAAAAAAAAAATCAAAACAAACGTTCTAAACACAGTCTCTTCTACAGTGCATGAGTTCCACTTCTCAATGAAATTTCCACCTCAAACATACAGGAATGTTCTCAGAAGCTTTATTCCTAATAAGCAAAGATGAAACCAACCCACATACTTACCAATAGTAGAATAATACTGGACAGTTCGGAGGATCAAGCTATGATAACATACAGCAGCACAGGCGGGCATCACAGATGCACTTCTCAGGGAAAGAATCTAGACACGGAAGGATGGCATCAGATAAAGTTCAAGGATGGGTAAAGCAGTGGGGAGGGAAGAATAGTTGTCTCCAGAGGATTTTAACTGGTATGAACTCAAGGGAGATATCTAAGAGTCGTGAAATGTTCCATCTTGTCTCTGAGTCAGTTGAACAGCTATGCATGTAAAATGTGATTGAGACATACATTTAAGAGCTGAGTAAACTACAAGTTACTGAGCGTTTGCTATATATTACCTTAGAGAAGAAAATATATACTTTCCAGAATTTTATATTTGAAGATACACATTTTAAGCTTGTGTTCTATGTATTTGTTCTGCATGGATGGTATATTGCTGATGTGATGATGATGGTATCTAATAATTACCTGCAAACACAGTATTCAGAAGCCTACAGAAAGAAGCATGATAGGAAACTGCAATCAAAATAGCTTTTCCATATGTGTTGATATAAAAAAATAATATAAATTCTCCTTTACCATACAGATGACACATGATGTAAAATCAGATCACTTATGTTCAATAGCACTTTTTGTTCATTCTTAATTGTTTTCAATTTTAAATAATTTTTCCCTCCCTCTCTCCCTTGCTCCCTCCCTCCCTCTCTCCCTCCCTCCCTCCTTCCTCTCTTTTTCTTGAGTCAGAGTCTCAGAGTCTAGGCTAGCTTTCAACTTCGTACATTGTCCTCCCTCCTCTTCCCCCTGAGTGCTGGGATTACAGGCATATATCATCAAGCCTGCTTTATCCAGTAGTGCAGATTGAATCTAGGGCTTTGTGCATGCTAGACAAATACTCTACCAGCTGAGCTAGACTTTACTTTACTTAAAATAGTTTCCCATTATTACTTTTCTTCTTCTGGTAATTTTATTAGCAATTATTTTAGATGTTTTAAGTTATACATCATTTTATAAGAAGCAAACTCTAATTGATCAAATTGAAAGAAATTTTTTTTTATCAAAACTTCTTTTGGCCTGTTGTTCTTGGTTGAAGTAAAGCAGTTCTAGGTCACAGGAAGCATGCAGACCCATTTCTGTCATTCAGAGTGCTCAGCATCATTAAGGGATCCAGCACACAGTAAGCGGGGGTGGGGGGGGCAGTAGAAGCTATTGATGGGCAGTATCTTCCTAGGGTGTTGTAGACATTAGTCACCCCTATCAGGAGATAAGGTCAGTTAGTAGCAGTTCAATTTCTAAAGGAAGATAATTTCAATGTGGGTACATCCATTGTGGGAGAGAACCTCGTTCATTTCACTGAACTCCTAATTCTCAGTATAACCAAATGGCAAGAATAATATTGTGGGGCTCCAGGTCCATAACCTTTGTTCTGGATTCAGTTTCAAAACCCAGTTTCTTGGCTGCTGTTTTGGAAGCACGAGAAAAGGTCAAGTGGGTCTCAGTGGTGGCTATGGAGAAATCACAACTTAAAAACAAAACGCCAACGAAAGAAGCTTGGGCTTTTCATAGAACCTCAGGAAACCAGAGCTTTTGATGCAGGAGTTCTAGCTCCTGAGCTGTGGAGAGTAGAGGCTGGTCTGACTGACAACGTATGGTGCTTTCCTAATCTCTGTTTCCTGAAAGAAGGATTCTTGTACAGGCTGTTTATGGAGATGCGTGGGTAAACTTCTAGTCAGCGTTATTGGTAACTCTAGAGAATTTATGGATACTAATATGACAGGAGAAGCTGTGAATGTTCTCATTTAGAATTGGCAAACAGTTATTTTACTGACTTAAAATGAACCAGTTCCACATGCGTCTAGGTCAAATACCTGCTGTGTGCCAGATGCTGCGATAAGTACTCGATGTCAAAGGCGACATCGAATCTCATGGAACTGACAGACCCACCGTCCAGACAAACAGAAGAGCATCATGTAATCAGATAAGAGGCATTTGGAAAATGCTGTGTTAGTGACTGTGCAAATGGTGACTGGCCCAAGCTCCGATTTCTTCATCTAAGACAGTAACTAGCTAATAAAGTGGCAGTGGGGATTAACTGAGGCCATGCAGTTCAACTCTTTTTTATCCTGTTGGCAAATAGGAAGGTCTCAGCTTCTAATGTAGTCACATAGGTACACACACTTATTGAAGACAGGATATGGGGACACACAGAAGGAGTGTATTAGTCAATTTAAAAGCCTAACACCAAATGTCCTTTTCAGGAGACATTTAAAGACCTAGAGGATGACTAGGAAAGCTAATTGGGGGAGGACAGTACCACCAACAATGGATGCAGATACAATTGACTGGAGAGCACAGTTACATCTGGAGAGTTGAGGCTAGCTCAGAAAAAAAGTACTAGTGAATAATTGTGGAGGCATCTATTGTTTTCATGGTATGAGTGTTTTCACTATGCCTAATTGTAATTAGCACTTATTGAAGAATTGGCTCACACAAGTCCTGTATTACAAGAAGACAAAACATCTCTTTGACCATTTACATGACGTCCATAATCCACAGTTCCTGGGTTAAGGAATTGTGCTGACAGTAGGTCAAACGGCCATTTGTGCTTTTAGCCAGGCAGACAACGAATTAGATCCGTCTCTTGAGAAGATCACTCTGTCATCAGACAGGAAAGAAGAGAGCCAGTTGGAGGCAGTGATCCAGACCAAAAATAAAAGCTAGCAGTAATCATGGTAGTAAGGGAGATGGGGTGGTGGTGGGTGGATTTAGATAATAGTAACACTTACCTGAAGTGGCAGTGTAGGCAAGGGGCACATGCAGAAGTTAGTCTGAGTGTGGGGCTTGGGCAACATGGTTGATGTAAGCACCATTCTCCAAAAGGGGCAACTCAAGACTAACTAACTAACTAACTAACTAATGTACAATTTTGAGCTCTTTACCTACATTATATTTCCAAAAGGCTGCTGTCGGCTCTGTGTGTCTCTGGCCAGAGACAGATGTGGAAGAGATAAAAAGATCTGAAAATTATCTGCACGTAGAGGGTAACCAAAGCTTTGTTAGCACCTAAACTTACAGGTAGCTCCTATGACAGAGGTGAGAGATTCCAGCCTATCAAGGACTGGGTCAAGGAAAAGATGTAAGAAGAGGTGCGGCTGCGCTACTAGGGGAATAAACAGAAGATGAGGTGCTGTGCAAGCAGGGGTGAGCTTCTAAAGGAGGCGGCGTTCAGTGGTGTTAACTACTCAAGAAGAGTGAAAAGCGGTGATGGATTTTAAATAGTGTCCTTGGTGAGGCCAGAGGCAGTGACATGCGAACTGCCACAAATGGAGGAAAGTGAGACCGTAAGTAAAGAAGACTCTCCAAAGGGGTGGGCAACAAGTGTGAGAAACTGCTGAACATCATTAGTCGTCAGAGACATATCGATCGAGACTCCAGCGAGACAGCACCTCAACTCACTGAGTATGGTTAGTCACAATGGCACAGTTAACAAATGCTAGGAAGGAAATGGAAGGAGAGGAACGTCCACACCTCATTGGTGGGGATGTAAACAGCCATTTTGAAAACAGTGCAGTGAGTGGTTCCTGAAGCGAAAACAACAACAACAAAAGTCTAACTTAAAAAACAGAACTACTATACAATTCATCTATAACCTCCTCTGGGTGTGGACCTCTGGGAAGTGAACTCTGCATGTGAAAGAGATAACTGCATGCCAGGGATTATTGTAGCGCTATCTACAATTGTCATTTGCTGCAATGCCGATGAAACTGGAGCACACTATGCTAAGTGAAATAAGCCAGACACAGAAAGACAAGTACCATGTGTTCTGCCTCATACATAGAAGCCAAAACATTAACCTGGCATGTCCTAATGATGAGGTTACCTGACAAGAAAGAACTTAAGGGAAGAAAGATTTCTTTTGGCTCACTGTTTGAGATACAGTCTATAAGGCTAGGGAAAGAATGGTGGAGGGAGGGCCTCATGGCTGTGGCAGTGGGATGATGAGGCTGCTGGCTCACATTTCTGCAGACCGAGAAGTGGAGGCAGGGTGGAAAATAGAGCTGAGCTATAAACCTCAATGGCTATTTGCCAGTGACCCTCTCCTCTGGCTAGGCTGTACCCCCTAAAGGTTCCACAACCTTCCCAAATACTGTCACCACTGGGGGACCAAGTGTTGAAGCATATGAGTCTGTAGAGGCCAATCTTCATTCAAACGATAACACTAGGATGGATATTTGGGGTAATCCGGGCTTATTTTGTCTATCAGTAGTGACTGGTTCATACATCTGATTCTCAAAGATCACTTCCAATCACATTACCACAGCATGCTCTCAAATATCTATAGCACATACATATACAAGGAAAGCCTTCTATTATGAAGGAGATATTACAAACAAACTTTTGAAAAGATAAAACAAAACACTCTAAGGGAACTGGACAAAAGATCTGAATAGGCAACTGAAAGATAAAAAGTAATGACCAAGAGACATGTGAATCTCATGCTGAATCTCACCAACAGTATATGAGACACTTTTCATCTTTTATTTGGAAAGATTTAAACCAAAAGTGCTAACCCAGTATTTAAGGCTGTTTTAATGAAGTACTAGGTAGTTATTAAGAGAATAAGATGGATTTCTTCAATATACTGCTAATCAGGAAACAAGTCAAGGTTCATTGTGATATTTCCATTTATAAATATTATACAAATGCATGTATGCCTCTAAAGGTAGGAAAATGAGTGGGAGAACATGAAGGAAATTATTACAGAGTCTAACTCTGATGAACATAGACCATGGGAGGAATAGAGAATTAAAAAAAAAAATTAGTGGAGAGCTGGAAAGATGGCTCAGCAGTTAAGAGTGGCGACTGCTCTTCCATAGGACCCTGGTTCAATTCTCTGCACCTCCATGGCAGCTCACAAGCATCTGTAACTCCAATCTTAAGGGATCCAATGCTCTCTTCTGGCTTTTGGGGCTACCAGGCATGCACCTGGTTCAGGAAAAACACACATGCACATAAATGTACCTATAAATAAAATTTTAAAAGTTGGTGCTGAAATGATGGCTCTGTGGTTAAGAGTGCTTGCTGATCTTGTAGAAGACCAAG